CCCCCCCCAAAAAAAGAAAATTAAACAATTAACCCACCTGAGGTCCTGCATGGTGGTCAGGGGCTGGATGGGCAGCTTGCAGAAGAGAGACAGCTGGAACAGCTGGAGCAGGCGGTGCCGGAACACGGAGATCTGGGGCGGCGGCTTGGCGGGCGCCGCCGCGCCGCAGCCCCAGGCGTGCTGCACTGGCGGGCGCAGGGAGGTGGGGAGCAGCGACAGGTGGGTCGCGGCGCCGCCAGTGCCGGCGCCTGTCGCGCTCGCACTCGCGTGAGCCTCCTCGGGCAGCTCCACCGCGGCCACGCCCTGCGCATCACGGCGCACCGAGCGCCGGCCCGCCGGCACGCGGTCAAAGGCCTGGCGCACCGCGGCGCGCGCCGCAGCCGGCTCCAGGTCGCCGACCAGGTAGAGCGTGGCGTTGGCCGGGTGGTACCCGCGCGCCCAGAAGTCCATGATGGCGGCGCGGTCCCAGCCCGCCACCTGCTCCATCTTGCCGATGGGGAAGCGGTAGCCCAGCGCGTTCTCGGCGTGCAGGTACTGCAGCAGCTGGCAGTCCACGCGGTACTCGATGGTGTTCATCATCTGGGCCTCGGCCGTCACCGCCTTGCGCTCCTTCTCGATGCGGGAGGGCAGGAACTCGGGCTCGAACGCGATCTCCGCCAGCGCGTCCAGCACCTGCGCCAGCATCGGCGCGCCCGTGCCGGCATTCACGCGCGGCGCGTGCACGTGGAAGACGGTGTGGTGGAAGTCGGTGTAGGCGTTGGACCGCGCGCCGGTGCCCAGCAGCGTCTCGCGCTTCTTGGACCCCAGGAAGGTCACGTGCTCCACCAGGTGTGCGATGCCCTGCTCCTCCGCCGACTCGTCCACCGAACCTGGCAGGGGATGGTTGCGTGCTCCATGGGATCGAGTGGCTGGGAGCCGGGCTCCAACAGGGTTGCAGGTACCCACGCATGCTGGGCACGCACATTCTCGTGCAGGCAGGGGCCAGGTACGGGCCTCTGTGTTGACATGGGCCAGCGGTTCCCCCATATCAAGACAGAGGGTCGAGGGGGGTACCAATGAGGATGTGGGAGCATGCAGCGTCGCCCTGCGCTCCGTCCACTGCTCCCCCCTCCCGTCCCCTCCTCCACCACCACCGCCACCCCACCGCCTCCACCACACACACCTGTGTGAACCTCCAGGTGCGCCTCAAACCTATCCACAGGGGAGGGGTTGGGCAGGAACACAACCCGCAGGCCGTTGTCAAGGTAATAAATGTCCAGCGCCTGATGGGGCTCGAGGGCTTGGGACGGGCCGCCCTCCGAGGGAGCGACCACGGCATCCTCTGCCTGCGGGGAGGGGGAGAGCCCAGCGACAAGAGGGAAGCATCAGCGACAGGAAGCTCCATGGGGAACTGGCATCGCCCAGCCCCGCGGATGCGCCCACACGGGTCGACCACAGGATGTTTCCAGACGCTCTTTCCCATGCCACTGAATCAGCGTGGATGGGCCCGTCACTCTCCCCGCCATGCGCACCAGCAAGGCGGCAAGCAGGGATGTGCCATGCCTCCTGCTCCTGTTGTGCAGTCGGGAGCCGCTCTGGCGCCCGAGCGGAGCCCGCAGGGGTTGAAGCTGCCTAGACCTGGAGGGCGAGGGATGGGGGGCAGATGTGGCGCCCAGTCCCACGAAATCATGCACCATGGATGGGCATGTCATGCAGGAACCGATGGACCCACGCACCCCACGGACGAGACTCCCACACAGCGTCTGGCGGGCAGGGAGCTTCGGGATGTTGTGGGGTTCACGAGGCGCCGAGCACTGGGCTTGGGTGCCTGGCTTGCAGCAGGCCCCTGGAAGGGCGCCACGCGGAGCACCGCATGTCTGTTCACCAGAGAGGAGCGGGCTTGCATGAGGCCCACGCGGTGTAGCCTTGGCACTTGCACTGATCGAGGTCCCGCAAGGGAGGAGGGTGTCACCTCACGACAGCATGCACAACTTTCCAATCACGGAATTATGTTTCGAGGTATGTGACTGGAAGCCCACATGCGGCTCTGGTCGCCCCAAACTCCAGCCTGGACGGGTCGCTGTGCTGGACCTGATAACATTGGAAAGCATGATTCTTTCGGATGGGTTGGCTCCTTTATAAATGTGCACGATGCTCCTCAAGTTGACACAAGGGGGACTGTTCTCGATATTCCCATGTGTTCATTGGGATATGTTTGTTTTGTCTTTCCCGATTAGATAGGGTGTTCCACGCTTGCTGGCTGCAGCATGCGTCAGGGCTGGCAGGACCCTCAGGGCATCACATCCGAGAGCATCGGCCACACCACATATGCACAGCTCCTACAACCCAGCATGCAACGATGGTCTGGAACAGGACTCGCATGCCCCGGCGGATGGACGGGTGGTTACTGCGGTTATACATACCTACGATTCTGTCACCCGGGGTGAAGCGGTGATGAGATTAGAGACGCGGGCTTGTGCAACGTCTCGATTCGCTTGGTTGGATTAAGCAACCAGAGAAGATATTATACTCGTCTCGGGGATACAGGCGTGCCTGTTCACTACCGCATTGGGCACCCGGTTGAGATCATGGCGCGCCGACAGATTTCCACGGTCGACGCAAGATGTAGGTGGTCATCAAACTGGCAAACCCGGTTCTCGAGCACGGAAGGACGTCGAAGTGAACGTACGTTACCTAGAATAGAGTCGATTTTGCTTGGGATACCCCTCAGTAGTGTCCTTCGAGGTGTAGCGATGGCGTCTACGACACTGAATATGGCTCAGGTGGGCGGGTGATCGTGGGCGCCAACCTGTCCACATGCCGTGTCGGTGATCATGCGCCGACACAATGCGTCCCTCCATGCCGTCCCGCAGGCGAGCCGAGTAGCCAGCGCTCAGTTTGGCAGGCCCACCCCGACCCCGTGCCCACCCCGCGCCCACCTGGGCCGTGCTGCCGCCTGGGCCGGCACCCACCCAAGGCCCACCCCCTGCGCAGCCGGCCCCCGGCCCAGCCTGCGGTCCACGGCCAGGGTGACGGTGCGGGCGGAGGCCGGCACCAATGGGTCTGCTGCCGACCATGGGGTGCCCATCACCAAGGTGCTCATCGCCAACCGGGGGGAGATTGCGGTGCGCGTCATCAGGGCCTGCCGCGAGATGGGGATCAAGAGCGTCGCCGTCTACTCTGTGGCCGACAAGGACTGCCTGCACGTGCAGGTGGGTGGGTGGCCTGCAGATGGTGTTGGTGCACATGAGGGGGATGCATTGATTGTGTAGCTATCAAGCAGCGTCTGTCCTTATTTGGGAGCTGTGCGTGCATTGAGGGGGGACCCAGAATGTTGTCAGTCAGACCAGCTCTGAGCACACTCTCCCCACCTGCCCCTTCACCCAATCAGCTCGCTGACGAGGCCGTGTGCATTGGGGAGGCTTCCAGCTCCGAGTCCTACCTCAACATCCCCACCATCATCGCGGCGGCCGTCAGCCGCGGCGCCGACGCCATCCACCCCGTACGTTGCAACAGCTTTGAGGAGGGTGGGGTTCCAGAGGTCTTGGGTACTGCACCCTTGTAGATGAGGGCGGAGGACTCCACTCAGGCGCCCACCATTGCGACACCCTGGTGTGATCCTGACTCGTCACCCTCTTCCGGCCCCTGATTGGAGTCATCACACTCACCACATTCACCAATACCTAA